CTTAACTAAAGGAACTTCAATCATATTTTACACATGTTTTGCTCAACAGCTCAACCAAATTATGTGAGGAAAATTTTAGAGTAACTTCTAAGTAACTAAGTAGAGAAAGAGGGGAAATATAGTAGCAAACTATCTAGAAAAGCATCATCCAGAAAAGAGCAGGAAATGACTACAGAACGTGGCAGATTGTCATACAGTAAAACTGCCTGTACTGTGATATACTTAAATGTCACACAGTTAAATACATAGATTTATCAGAATGAAATACTTACCTCACATTTTAGTATGAAAATAGAGTGTTTCTTACCCAAGAGTGCTTGTTTTCTTCTTTTTGGGGAAGTGATAGGTGAGTGCCCAAAGACACTGTAGATTGTGCCTGTGGTTAGAAATATGGCCACATGGACACAGAATAAACCTGGTGAGAGCTATGTTTTTCAAAGACAGCCCATAGGGTTTCCACATACCTAGGAATATGAGCTGAAGCAATGAGCTAATTCTCCTGCACTAATTTTCTGTTAGTATCTCTTTCTAAGGATGTGACTGTAAAATCAGTGAACTCCAGGATAGTTTGCCATTGGCTTCAGCAGACTTTGGCTCAGGGTTTCATTCACAGGTTTATCCTGCCTAATATCAAGTGTCTTCCTAAAACTCGTAAACGAGGGATTACAATCATCCCAGTTTTCCTTTTATAGCCAGAGTATACCTGCATATTACAATCAGATTGTAGGTGGGATGCATTGCGCTCTGGAGTTGTTCCTGCTGGCTCCAGGAAGTTATACCGAGCAGGCTCTTGATTAGGTATCACAGATGCCTAAAGCTAAAGAGACTGAAAGCAAGCCTCATTATATAGATGAAACAACTATTCTCTGATGATATATGAATTTAAAATTAGTGATGTGATATGCATTTATCTAAAGTAAAGTTGAAAAGTTTGTATTTACCATTTTACTTGTGGGTAAATTATCACTAATTTCAAGAGGAATTCCCAGTGCTTAGTATGACTAATACTTAGTTAAGTAGAAGTAATCTCTTCTATAATTTCCTGTGCATTAAGAAAAATATATACAAATATTAAAAGAGTATTTATTGATTTAGTGCAGATAAAATATATGAGATCAAATTGGCCCCTTCTTTGGAAAACTGAGCAAGTCTTCTTGAGACTCTTCCAAGTACCAGCTTAACCTCACCTTAAACAGAAAAAATATCACAATACTTGTAGCTCTGTCCTTGTCTTCCATCCACTAGGTCTGTACTAAATGCATGAAATTTTTTTTTTACAGAAATAAGGCACCTTACTTTTGGGCTAATTTTCAGGCTATATTAATTCTCAGGCTGGTTTTATTTAAAATAAATGATGTATGTTGTGCACTTCCCCCACAGTATGACTTAATCCTTGTCCACCAGGAGGTCATTTTTTAAGGTCCACAGCAATCCATTTTTCCATATAGAAAGAAGGATGACAAGCACAGGCACTGCAGAGTGACCTGAGCCTATTTTAGCAACCTTCAATAAAGATGGCTTTTTCTCTTTGAAAAAAATATGCCCATATGAAACCTCCCCTGCTTATCTGCCTGGCTCACAGCACCAAACCCAGTTAGATTCAAATGAGACAAATTTACAAAGGCCAGGAAACTGAAGACAATCAAAATACATTTTCTTATTAATCACAAGTTTGCCCAAAGCGTGATTTGTTTGACTTGTACTATACAATCAAAGATTTTCCTCTGTATATGAAACTCATTCTTAAGCTTGTAACTGGAGTCCTTGAGTGGAGCTAAGTGATCAGCATTATAGCAATTATTACATCAATGTTTTCCTACGTAGAAGGTCTCTCAGGTTCCCTCCATTGGAGAATAAAATCAAATTCCTGTCCCTACTTAGACTGAGCAACATTCAGGCCTACAAACAAGGAAAGTATGAAGTAAACGAGGCAGATAATTGAAAATTCTGTTAGCAGTAACCAGAGTGGCTCTGGGCTGAGACTGCTGCATCTGTACAAGACCATGTAATTTTGGTTCCTATAAATTTATAGAAAAGTCCTTTCCATCTTTTCACCAAATATTACATAAATATGTGCTTTTTATGGAGATTATTCTTCCTAATCTTTGAGGGGGAAATAGCTCATATCCTGAACCTAGGATTCCTGACTGAATGACCAAATGCATTTGGTATTCACTGTACCAACATATCTTACTTTATGAATGCAAGAATTGGTAAATTACACTCTAGACTGAAGAAGGAAAGAAATCAGAACTATATCTTAAGGTTGAGACCTAACATTGTGGCTGTAAATATTTGTGCTTTTCTTTCTTTCAAAATCCTATCAGTTAAGGAAAGCTTAGTTCCTAAATTCCTAAAGGAATTAGGAAGAGTACATGAATGTATATGATTCAGTCTGTAAAGAAAATTCTTGGTCTCAAATGCTCTAAATATTCTAGAAAAAAATCCATTAATATGAGCTTATGCATTATAGCTACTTAATCTTTAGAGAGTTCTTTGCAGCTCATGACTTTGGAATGAATTTAGAAACAGCTCATATTAGACTGTATTGTTTCATTCCCCCTTAGTACGATTCTCTTCTCTTCTTGCAATTACTAGGATTTATTTTGTTTAAAAATAGGATTTTGTGTCATTTAAGTTGTAGCTACTTAATTCCTACTTCAAGTCAAAAATCCTCACTGTCACATTACACCAGTCTCTTGGAGTCCCAGATGACTGAACTGTGATGTCCCAGGAATTATTTTGTCTTCAGGAGATTATTTATTCTTACAAATACACTTTATGCCCTAGAATTTAACCTTCTGAGAAACGTAAAAAGCAAGGACAGGCATTTTTTCAAGGTACTAATCAGGCACAAGCTGTAAAAGTTTGAGATTCCTGGTTAGGTCCAGGATCCACTGGATCCAGGCTGTCCAAAAAATAAAACTAAACTAAACTAAACTAGACTAAACTGAACTAAAGATCATCTTTACAAATAGCCAGCGCTGTCAGAAAAGACTTTGAACTTGGACTGCTTTCAAATTTGTTTTAAAACAAGCATAGCATTATACCATTACTTCATCCATCCACTTATCCAAATGTATTGCTTCTTTTTTCTTCTTTTTCCTTAAGAAACATAGTGTTTGAAATAACATTAAGATTTCAACAAGAATCAAAATGATTCCTAATGGAACCCATTATCACCTCTATAGATGAAAAAAATCTTTGCTGCAAGAGCTATTCTGTAAAAATCTGCATATAAAATCCATCTGAAAGAAGTGTTTGCTGTAATGCTAGTCAGATCAAAAAGAGTGCCTATTGATTACAAAAGAATCAATAGCAAATAAGGAAACCTCTTTTGATTATTTGTCAGGAAACGAAGTCCAGTCTCAGGGCTCAAGTGACAGGACAATAAATTGGGCTTTATTAATTGATGTAGGATTGTTGTTTTGTATCACCAAAAAAAAAAATTCTAATCTTTCCTTTCATATGGTAAAAACATATCTTTATCATTGTAATCTTTATGTCTAAATCTCAAACAACTATTTTCAAAATAGTGGATTAATTCATAAGAAATAGTGTATTGAATTTTAAACTTGAATATTTTTTCATTGAAACTACAGAAAGCATTCTGTTTTATGTGATGCTTTATTTCATATGATTTGATATATGTGATTGATTGTAGCCATCACAAGTCTTCTTAATTTAGGAACTACAGTCAAACAATTTTAAATCTTTTTCTCCCCGTGCTTTCAAGAATTTCTCAGGGGAGCAGCTTACAGACTACAGTATTGATAGTGTTCTTCATCTCTTTTATGAGAACTTAAACAGAAGGTAATATATATTGAAATTAAGCATATTATTGAAATACAGAAAAGAGGTAATTCCCAGACATCGGTATATATTTGCTCTTTATTTTTTTTTTTTCCTGATTTCTCCTGTTCCTATGTTTTGTTTTGGATTTCTTTGGCATATGCCTAAAAGAGGTTATTAGAGCAGGAGACGCGGTCAACAGATCTTCAAGTGTATTTACTTTAGGATTCCTCTGCAAGACCTCTGTGTAATTACTAAGCTGAAACAAGTGTGGCTTAGTGTGGAATAAATACCTCCTGATATCTTGATGCGAGCTCAGTGATGATGATTCCGGGCGTTTTCACCATTTTAATCACAAAATAGCAGGAGCCCGTTTTGCTCATCGGAGGCAGCAGGAGGGCTTCAGGCGTGATGCCTCCCTCGTCCTCCCTCGGCGCCGCAGCGCTGCTCTGAGCTCCCGGTGAGCGGCAGAGAGCCGGGACCGCGGACAGCCGGCCCGGCCCCGTCGCGCTCCTCGTCATCCACACGCCATCTAGCGACGGGAAAAAAAAAAAAAAAAAGTGAAAGAGAGACAGAGAG